CACTTGGCCGGGTGTGCTCTGCTCGTCAATCGCTTCGGCTGAAAGCAGAGCTCCCCTGTGCGTCAGCAGCCATTACTTCATCTCTTTCCCTCCAGCCACAAGATGACTGCAGCGTCAGAAGGACGTCTCCATTATTAATGTGTGTAGATGAGATGCCAGCTCCAGCTCTTCCACCCGCCTTGACTCACCAGGCTACGCCCCAGCTGCAGGTCTCCTCCCCAGGAGGTGGAGAGCCACCAGCCTTGACACCTTCCAGTTAGAGACCTCTCTGCTAAGCCTTGGGTCCTGCTCTCAGCCAAGGGGGATCACAGGACCATCCAGCAAGGATGTGGGGAAGGAGACCTGGTTCTCATGGTCTGCTGGGGTGTCCAGCGAGATGTCCGTCCAGGTGTCCCACTACAGGCCCTCGGGGACACAGTGCTGTACGGGATGGAGAGAGGAAAGACCTGCTAGGCAGATCAGTCGTTACAGGCAGGAAAGGAAGGACTGAAGTAAAGGGTCTGTTTTCACAGCAGAGGGATGTTACCCATGGAGATCCACTGAGTGTGTCCAGAAATGATCTGAAAAAGTGCAGGGATGGCGAAGTGACCACGTTTGCCACAAGCACTGAGCTTTTCAGAGCAGAGCAGACAAGGACAGGCTGCGAGGAACTGCCGGGTCCCTCTCACTGAGCAGTGAGATGGTAAGGCGGCCAAGGAAACTCCACGCAGGCAAAGGCAGAGCAAACACACAGAAACCAGTCCTAATGTTGGTAGTCCAGTGACGGGCTCTGACCAGTGCGTCTCCTCCCAGGAAGGAGATCTTGGGAGTAGAGCTAAATGATGTTTGCAAAATGTCTGGAGCAGAGAAACCAGAAAATTGAATGTTGGAAGTGAGTAGGAAAGAAACAGGACGAGAAATTAAACACTGCCGCTGTGTAAGCCAGCAATGCGCCTGCACTCAGGAGGCTGCGTGCGGGTCTGGCTCTCCCTGTTGCCTCCGTCTCAAGAGGGATATGGAAGAGGCTCAGAGAAGGGAAGCAGGAATGACCCAAGCTCTGGAGCAGCCTCTGTGTGAGGAATGGCTCCATGGCCAGGAAAAGGGATGACGGGGAGGGGTGTGATACAGAACTGCACTGTCTTGGGAGGCACGTGAGGGTATGGAGGGGTGATTACTCACCATCTCTTCCAGTATAGGACTACACGCTCCAAAAAAAACTACCTGGAGGGAAGTTTAAAACAAGGAAAAGGAAGTGGTTCTCAGTGCAACGTATAGTTAAACCATGGAGCTCCTCACCACAGGATGTGACAGATGCAAAGCATTTAAACAGGAACTGAATGAATTCATGGAAGAAAAATCCTTTGGGTTATTAAATACAAAGAACCACCATCTCTTCCTTAAGGCTGGAGGACTATTCTTGCGAAGTCTTGCTGCACCCTTACTCTGTTCCTCTGTAAACATCTGCCGTAGGCCACAGCTGGAGCCAGGATATTGGCCTAGATGAGCTGTCACATGGCTCTTACGTTTTGTCAAACCACTGCCCTGAGATGAAGCCACAGACTGGGCAGCTCCCCGGGAACATCGCACACCGTGTCCTCACCTGAGGGGAGCCAGGCTGCTCCAGTCGCAGGTTCTGCAGGCAGGCTGCCCCACACAGGGGGCTCAGCCCTACCTGTGCCACATGCCAGACCAGCCATGCCACCACGAGATGGTCCCATTCCCTTTGGTTTTAAAAGAATAGTCTCCCCTCCACTGCTTAATGCTCGCAAGAGTTTTAATCAGCTCAGAGTTGGCACGAACTGGCTATTCAGACATGGCAGTTGACTCCAGGGTCTTCTGTTTGCCTGGTGCCATACAGTCTGATGATATGATCTGATCATTGTGATAGCCAGGCAGCCCTACTGAATTTGGTCTGAGTTTGGAGATTTCAGAACATCATCTCCAGTTCCCCGGGGGTGATAAAGCAAACCTCACAGCAAGGGCACACAGAGAGATGCTGTCATATGCCTGGAGTTCCCTGCAATGCACCAGTTCTCAGCAGCTGGGTACCGGCTGCTGAGTACGGAGATGTGACTCCACCAGCTTTAATGGGAAGATCTGACTCTGGTCTGTCTTCTCTGTTGTTTGGGAGAGGGTCCAGCAGAGGTGAAACAGAGAGAAATTTCTATTTTTAGAAACATTTGTTTTCAGGATAATTTTTCAAAGAGGTGACTGACAGGGCTTCATGTGTTCCAGAGACTGAACACACCAGTGACAGTGTGGGTCACTCTGGCAGCTATCCGACCCTCGGGAAGTGAACAGAACACTTCAGGGGGAATGATCCTTTTTGTAGCTCCTGTCCCAGTCTGCCATGAGAAACCATCCTGGTACAGCAGCACAGAGATGCTGGGGATATCCAGCGCCATGGCTGGCAGAAAGCTCCCAGCGCCTGTGTTGGCTTTGTGCATTTCGAGTGCATTGCTGCTGCAGTTTGTGCTGCAGCATCCAAGGGATGCTCTGGATGCATTGCCCACCTTTTGGCCAGTGGTGACACAGGACAGAGGAACGCTGTCACCTGCTGCACCCCACGGCTGCGCACCCTTGGGTGAATGTCAAATGTCAAGTAGCTCCTGTCCCAGTCTGCCATGAGAAACCATCCTGGTACAGCAGCACAGAGATGCTGGGGATATCCAGCGCCATGGCTGGCAGAAAGCTCCCAGCCAGGACCTGGCACCTGTTTTGACTTAGTGCATTGCTGCTGCAGTTTGTGCTGCAGCATCCAAGGGATGCTCTGGATGCATTGCCCACCTTTTGGCCAGTGGTGACACAGGACAGAGGAACGCTGTCACCTGCTGCACCCCACGGCTGCGGCAGGTCCACCCTTGGGTGAATGTCAAACACTCATTTCTTCCCCTCTGGTTTCAGACCTTTCTTTGTCTCCCTGCAGAGGGGAGGCAGGTCCCACATGCCTGAATTTTCCTGAGAAGCTTCAGAGTGATGTAAATCCCCTGTCTCAGACAGCAGGTTGGGTGCCAGTCCTAGGAGCCTAGCTCCATCAGCCAGGGTAGCACAGGCTTGCCGTGGGGAGCCATGGCTCAGCCACTGCGTGCCTTCCCCTCCTCTGGGGACCCGGGGGGACTCTGTGTCCTGCTGGAGACAGGATCACAAGAGACCTTGTGACAGCAGGGGAACCATTGCACTTAGGAGAGAGGTGCGAGTCTTGTGCCTGAGTCACACAAGATTTTGATCTGCTCCCCAGGTACTAGTGGGCTTTGGACCAGGCCAGCAGCACCTGTAATCAGGGTGAGCCATCCTTGCTCTGTGACATTCCTGTGCCAGGTGTCAGTCGCCACCGCACAGACGTGGCCGCACAGACCCAAAGGAGATGGCTGCAGAAAGGAGTGTGGGTAAAAGAGCTCCACACCCAGAGCCTCGTGCAGTGGTAATAAAAATGCCTGTATTTTCACTCAGTCTCAGTGCCAACAAGACCAGGCACAGAGCAGCGACTAGCAGAGCTGTGTTCCCGCCATGAAGCCACTCTGCAGTTGAATCTGGTCATGGGCTGTCAGAGGTGCACTCCTGCTCTGTAGCAGAGACCAGTCCCCACCAGCACCCGCTCCCCCTCGGTGGAGGATGGTGCAGAGGGAGCTTGTGCCACTCATGCTGGAGCTGCAGTCGGTGCAGAGCAGAAGGGAGGCTCACCCCTAGCTGGTGCTGCTCCCAAATTTGCATTATGGGTGTCAGCAAAGTGCCCTGCTCTTCAAGGCACCCAGCTACTCCCCAGGGCACTCAGATGACTGGCCCTGTGCCTCTGAGCAGCAGGCAGCAATTCAGTCTACTGCCAGAAAACATGGTGGCCAAAAGCTGCCTTGCTGTGTCACAGAGCCCGAGTTAAGCTGTCCCTACAGGGTCTCGCTGCTACCCAGCTCTGGGACTGAAGCTAGCACGTCCCTGGCTGGTTTGGAGCATGGGCACGGTGAGCTCAGGGCTGCCACAAGATCCTGCAGAGCCATTTCTGTGGCTGCCCACGTGTTGGCTGAAGTGTCTAACACAGACACCTGCTTTTGCAAAACACGGCCTCTGCTCCCCTGAGCTGTGCTGAGCTGCTGTTCATTGATGCTAAAATTAGCTGAAGGTCCATCAATAAAGGAGCCCTTGAAAGAGCTCGCTCTCAAGAGCATCAAAAGGGGACAGCCTGCACCCTTTTCATCTGCTTGCTCTGCTCCTCAGATGATAAACTGGGACCTACATGGCGTGACTGCTGCTCCGGAAGAGATGTAGAGCAGGGCCTTGCACATCAAGGGGCTGATTGATTTGTTAGTGATATTTCCAGTACTGTGGCGACAATAACATGTGATGAGCCTTTCCCCTTATCCGGCACTTTCCACCCTGCGCTTTTCACAAACGCTAATGAACCAGAGCTCGTGATGATCTTTGGAGGAGGAGAGAGAAAAAATTCAGGCATAATCAAACAACATCTCTCAGCCCATTTTTTTTTTTAATCTCAACAAGAATCAGCTTTTGAATGACATGAAAAGCGGCTCCATTGAGTAGACAAGATGTTCAGGCCCGCAGGTGACTGTTGGAAGGAACAAGACACAAGTGGATCCTACTCCTGGGAGGGCATGCTCATGAAGGGGCTGGAGCCCCAGGTTTCCAGCCACAGTTTATCTGGAATCAGGTCCTCTGGCCTGAGTCCAAATCCTGGGATACTTTGCCCGGTAGCATCCCAGTGCCACTGCCCTTGTGCATGGCTTGTGGGAGATGGACCAGCACTCAGCATCTGTCAGACCTAGTCTCTTGCGAATCTCCCCCAAGATTTAGAAATCAGGAGGATGACCTAGGAGATACCATGTTTAAAAATCACAGAGACATTTACAGACAAGTCCCTGGAGGGATGGGGCTCCTTTCCACTGCCCTGTGCTCTCCAGGGTCTCTGGGGTGCTCTCAAACATGTTTTTCTTTCCAATCTTGGGAGGAAGCAACTTGCTTTAAAAAAAGTGGAAGGAACTGTAATGCCCTGACTCCACAGGACTAGCTCCATGACCCCTGAGGAGGTGCCGATAAAAGCCACCACATGATGTGCTGTTAGTGATAAAATCACCGGACTCAGCAGTCCTTGATTGGGTTCCTCATCTGCAATCTGCTTGCTCGAGTGCTGATCCTCATCCAGAGGCAGCCTCTAAGTGTTTTAAGATTCGGGAGGTGGGAGGCAGAGGGAGCATGCCTGCTGCGGAGGGGCCTGGGGGACAGGGGGACACAGCCTCTGCTCACAGCTCCGTGTCATTTCTCCCCCAATGTGTAAAGGGATCCAGAGCACCCCAAGAAGAGGGTGATGGGGAGCCCGCTGGGACGGACTGTGCTAAGCTGGCTCCTGCCACCGGAGAGCAGCAGTATCCACCCAGAACAGCCAAAGCCTGCACTGGACAGACAGGACCGAGCTGGCCACATCCTGCACTTCAGGCTGTTGCTCTGCTGCTGCAGCAGACGCTCTGCACCACCTGCTTTCATTCCTCTTATCCTCCCCGGCATCCTAAACCACAGCACATGGCATGTATAAAACCCATGTTCCCTAAAATGGTTCAAGAAATTATACTTAGGGGGAAGATTTACTGCCAGGTATATCAGCCGTCATCCACAAGCTGAATTATTTTGCGTTAGAGGAGACTCACCTCAGTGATTTGAACATGACTGATTTAAGCAGTCTCACAGAGGAAATGTGCCTTGGATGCCAAATACCAGTACTCTGCACTAGCAGGGTAATTAATTCAAAAGCACCGGAGAAACTGCTGCTGAAGACTTATCCATAGCACTTGACATGCAGTGAATCAGCTGTACTGTCATTTACATCTTTTTTGGCCCATGACTTCTTCAGAGTCTCTCACCTCACCTCCCAGTGCATCCACTCAAGTACCCGAAGCAATTTCAAGTCTGACATCACTGGAAAAGTTTGGACCTCAGCTTCACCTCCGTTCAGCAAATTGTCCCTACTGATTGTGCCAAAGGAAAAGAGATGCAGTTCCTCCATCTACCTACAAACACTTCTGGAACTGCACAGCCTCTTGGTAGTGGATTAGGGAAGGAACCTGCTTTTGGAAATCTCATGGCCTTTCAGAGAGTTAAGGCAAGGTAAAACAAGGTATCCCAAAGCAAATCAGATGGGCTCCATCAAGAAAGAAATTTTTAGGGATCTCATGTCTCTGAACTTTTTTGCCTGGGTGGATAGTCCGAGCTCTGCAGCAGAGCCGGGGCAACCCAAGCAGCCTGGTTTGGACCTCAGCCTTCACCTCCTTCAGCAAATTGTCCCTACTGATTGTGCCAAAGGAAAAGAGATGCAGTTCCTCCATCTACCTACAAACACTTCTGGAACTGCACAGCCTCTTGGTAGTGGATTAGGGAAGGAACCTGCTTTTGGAAATCTCATGGCCTTTCAGAGAGTTAAGGCAAGGTAAAACAAGGTATCCCAAAGCAAATCAGATGGGCTCCATCAAGAAAGAAATTTTTAGGGATCTCATGTCTCTGAACTTTTTTGCCTGGGTGGATAGTCCGAGCTCTGCAGCAGAGCCGGGGCAATCCAAGCAGCCTGCAGACGCTGCTGCTTGGCACTAATATGTTCACCAGAGAAACTCTGCAGGAAAGTCTCTTCCAGGGAACAAGTTCATTGGTAGAGCTTCAGCTGTGCACTAACGGCATTTCCTATGAATCATCAAAATTACTTGAAAATCCCCCTTTTCCTGCAGTACTTAAAAAACCCCTCTCTCCAAACAGCCAAGAATGTCCCAGACTGCAGAATTCCCCTCTAACTTCTTGAAAGGCTTGGAAATGGCACTGTTAGCTCATGGACACCTTCTCCACGGACCCAGATACCTTTGGTTCAATTCAAGCACTGCAAGAAGGAGATTTGTCCCACTGTCCCAGCCCTGCTCCAGGCTCTGCCCAGCTGGCCAGAGCCGTGCCCCAGCTCCAGGGCCCCCCGTGTCCCTTCCCTGCCAGAGGACGAGCAAGGCACGATGCTACATCCATGCTGTCGTGGCTGTGGATGATGGGGTCTGTCTGGAGACACGATGTGGTCAAATGCAAGGGTTTGGCGTAAGTGGGGAAGGCTCACCCCAGCCTTGCCTGTCTCTGCTGCCCTTCTCCTGCAGCAGTGCCGGAGATGAAATCCCAGGCTCCGGGTTAGACATGGCACGGCTGCTCATATCTCTTCTGATGCACTAAGGCATCGCCTGTGCTGGCTGTAACCCTGGACTACAAGGGGTGACAACTTTCTGAGGGTTATGTGCGAACACTTAAAGCAGGCACCCTTGCCAAAAATAATGGTGCCTCTTGCCTTGTGCCAGCACTGGCATTGAAGCTTTGCGCTCAGAGCCAGCCTGGCAAATGCAGCCGGTGTCAGACTGCTCCAGAAAAACAGAGTTATTTTCAACCTGGACCAGTTCCCTGGGTTGGGTCCCCGCAGCCCCGTGCCTGGCCCTGCCAGCGCAGGGGAGGGAGGGGCAGGAGGGCAGTGGCGAGGGGCCTTAGCAGGGGTGGCCAGCAGCACCTCTTTGGTGCCTGTGGATGCCCTTGGCGTGGGTTGGTGTCAGGCAGGACATTGCCCAAGGAATGCAGAGGGACCGGATCCCTCCTGCCTCACTGCAATGTCCTGGTGAGCCCCACCTCACCCTGCTCTGCCAGAGGCACCTGCAGGGGAGCAGAGTTTGGCCAGATAGGTGGCAAAGCCACCCTATGAAGTGTCCTCAGGCACACAGACAGGACCATCCGAAGGTGAGCCACCTCACGTGGGGTCCCAGCACAAGCCTGGTTTGGTTCCTGCTGGCACAACCTGCTCCTTTCCAGCCATTTTCCCAAATGCCGTAAGCTCTGCTAAAAATAGCTGGATGGAGTCTCAGCTAAGGTCAGCACAAAGCTGAAACCCAGGGGCTCAGGAGGGAGGGCAAAGCCTCCTGCGTGAAAGGCATGCTGCTGGTGTAACGGTGTGGGCAGGGGGAGCATGAGGAGATGCTAGAGCAGAACAGGTGTCCCCAGACAACCAACCTGCTGTGTCTATGAATCTGCAACCCAGATCTAATTTAAAACACAAATCCCTCAGCCACGCCAGAAGCTCACTTGCCCCTCCTGCCAAAGAGCAAAGAAATACTGAGATGACTTTGGCTGCCCAGGGCTCAGTGAAACACATTGGTGGTGTCTCGGTTTGTTCATCTGCACCCGGGTTTTACCCACTTACAAGGAAAATTGGGGCAAAACTGCCTTGGGTTCTCCATGTCTCTGAGACAATAAACATTTCAGAGAGCAGATCGGACCTCGGGTTGAAGATATGGACCTTGCTTTTTCTTCGCTACACTGGGTACACAGGGTGAATGTGCCCCTCTGGAGAGGAGCTGATGTTAGGTGGCTGGAGGGACGAGTCAAAAGACAGAAGATAGTTTTATTTCTGAAGATCTTGGGCTTCTGCTGATCCCGCCTTTCTTTTTTCTTTGCATCAGCCCCAGCTTTGTTGGACCTTGCCATGAGACAATTTGATTCCCTAAACCATCAGAAAACTAGCCTGGCAAAACAAGGGAATCGTCTTCTGCCAGGCTAGGAGGTGCATCGGCTCAGTGAGGGGCCGGACTGCTGGAGCGGCTAGCCAGGAGTGAGCAGGACTCTGCCACTGGGCAGGGGATGGGATCTGTCAGCTCAGCTCAGCTCAGCTGTGGCATGTAACTTTGCTCTTTGTGGTCCGTATTGCAGAAGCGCTCAGGATGGTGCTCCTAGGTCCTACCTGCAGCAGCAGGAGGAAAGCCCTGGAAGATGGCAGCTCCACTCCAGAGAAGCTCTGAAATTATAACTTGACCTGAACGTGAGCTGACTGCTCTGGAGCAGAGGCGCTGCATGCCCTTTGACTTTTTCAATCATGACTTTGCTTAGCTTGTCATTTCACTGTTCCTCCCTCCCTTTAGAGCCTTTAGACAGGAGCCTGGGATATCCCTGCTGCCCAGGAGGATGAGCAGTTCCCTCCTGCTCCAACTTCACAGCAGCACATATTTGCTGACACGGTTACAAGCATGCAAAGAGAATCAAGAGGATGCTGCTCCACCAGTACTGCATCAAACAGCTGGTTTATTACACCAGAAACACTCCTCTCCTTTGCTGGGATCAAATTAAGAGGTTTGGGGATGCTCAGTTGCAAAGCAGGCACGAAGAAAGGATGAGCAACGCTGGGATCAAGGAGGGCTGGTCACACTGGAGGCTTGGTCATGCAGCAGGACTTCTGACTTGTCTTCTGGAAAGAGAAGAGAGGGGATTTATTCCTTTCATTTTATCAAGTGATGCAGCTATAAACATGTTTTCATTGTCTCAGTGTCCCTGAAAGATGTGAAAAATAATAATGAACAGGAGCTAAAGAATAGCTTGCGGATGCTCTAGCTGTCCAGTTCACCCCATCCTCTTTGGTGGTGGTGCCGAGGCTGGTGTTCTCCCTGTTAGCAGTGAATTCAATGATTCTCGTATTCTTTCCTGGCTGTCTGCAGAGCGCCTTTCCAGGCAGCAGGGGATTTTTCTTCAGTTTTCCCATCTGACCATTCCCATCTGGTGTTTTGGCTGACAGCATGTCACTGCCAACAGGGGACAACCCTTGCACTGTCCCCTGGAGCTCCTTGAGCCATTCGAGTCACTAGTCTGGCAGAACATTAACCCAGAGAAAACACCAAGAGAAACCATTCGGACAATTTTCTGCAGGCTTGGAGAGCCAAACTGACCACAGAGGGTCTGATGAGCCGCCAGAGCTGGGCATTAGGAGTGGGGTGAGTAGGAGTGGAGGAGGACGCAGAAGTGAGACTACCATGTATGAGCAGCAGTGAGTCCTTAGATCAGGCCAGCTGCTGTGAAGCCACAGCCTAAAATTCCCCTCCCAACTTACATTTTCAGTGTTTTTAATTGATATAATTTTAAATCCAATCAGTATCTCTGTGGGTTTTATGTTTGTGCAGATCTTGGTATTGTTCATGTTTGTCTTCACCAACTTCTGTGCTTTCCTAAAGATTCAAGGACACAAACCCCAAGGCAGAGGCCGTGGTAGGATTTTTACAAGGCCGGGACTGCTTTCAGACTGTCAGTGTCTTCACTGCTCAGCAAGGCAAACCCCAAACATGGTGCCATAGGATGTGGTTTTCTGCAAGGGGCTAGGAGGGGAATTTGCCTGTACCGTGGCATGAAGACAGAACAGATCCGTTGGCCAAAATAAAAAACAGCAAAAGCTCTTGCACAGGTGGACTTCATCCTGACACAGGAGGGGACAACACACCAGGTGAGACCCACCTCCAGATGTGATCAGCTTCTGGACATCTAGGATCCATCAGGCTATGAGTCTCCTCCAACTTCATGCTCTGAATAGTGCTGTTTGTTCACTGGGTTAAATTCTGCCTATCCAGAAATACACATGCACCTTCCCTCTTCCCTGAAACTGAACAAAGCTCTCTTTGCTACTGTGGAGACGTAATCAGAGCCCCAGAGTGGCTGAGATGTAAATCTGAAAGGTAGGATACAACATGGTGTCCCCAGCCCACAAACAGATGTGGTCTGCAACCACAGGAGTGAAGAAAAGGGAAACAGGTTGAGGTCATCTCGGCGTGGCACACAATGGGACGCTGGCGCATGGGGCTCTCCAGCTCTTCCTTCACAGAGCAGCCAGAGCTGGAGGTTTTCCCCACACTCCTGGTCCCAGTGCAGAAGGGTGTTCACAGGTATCCTCAGGGCTCCTGACCAGGGGTGATGGAGCTGCAGCTCTGGTGGTAGGTCTTTCTTCTCTTTTATGTCCTGGTTTTAGCCTGGTTTATGCTGGCTGACTTCTGCCATCTCTCTGCTATCTTCCAGCCTGTCCTGCAGCCCTTCCCACATTGCCTAGACTGATCCTCCTTTGAATCCCCCCATTCCCATCCCTCCCGCAGGACTCATTAGTGAATGCATGTTAAAAATAACCAAGACAAAAAATACCAAATGCTGATTGCTGGTCATCTTTTTTGCACAACACCCAACTAGACTGCAGACATTTTGAGGAAGATGTGTGCCTGGGTGCGTTTGCACCGGGCTCGGCTCAGCCAGTCCCTGCCTTGTGTGATGTTCCCTGGCCCAAGGCACCGGCAGTGTCCCCTGGTCACAGAAATGTCCCCCGGCAGGCAGGAGGTGGCAGCATTGCATAGCCCAGAAGGTCCTGCTCGCCTGCATACCCACGCATGGTCTATTTACTGGCCAGGAGCTGCAGACCTGTTTTTCCAGCTCCTCCAAGGATACGTGACTCAAGCCAAACACCTCCAAACTGCTCAAATCCCATCCAGAGCAACATTAAATACAACTAAACCCCAAAGGCCGCTAAGTGCACATCAGTCCTAAGCTGTGAGCAAATCACCATTAACAGCAATGTGAGGGCAACTGAGGACACAGGGGCTCTGCATTTAGAAATGAGTGTGATGTTTAAAGATACCTCATTTGCCCTTGAAACTCCAGCCCCCGTAACTAGTGTGCGATGTATCTGAGCTCCTCCGCACAAGATCCACATTCCCTTTGAGTGACAAGAGTGCGGATATTCTTGCTTGCGCAAATGCTCCTTGACAGAACCGAGGTGGGAATGAGTTGGAGGCTAGCTTGCTCTCAGAGCATCATTTTCATTCTGGTGCATCTGGCATAGTCCAGGCTGATTTGGAATCCTTCGCATTTTATTTCTATTAGAGATGCGGAGAGACCTGTAGTAAAACCTTGGATCTAAGCTCCCTGAAACACAAGGGGAACTTGGAGCTGATATTTGCAGTTCAGGGCATTGCTGGCTGCCAATCTTCCCTCTCCACTCCTCCTGGTCTCTCACCATGGAGTCATCCTGTAGCTGACTGAGTCCACCACAGGAAGAAACACAGGCAAATCACAGACTTCCCTTGCTGCCTAACAGCCAGATGGACACAAGCCAGGACTTTTTTGCACTTGTGCAGCCAGAAAGTGTTTGTACCACAGTGCCTTTACCAAGCTAGAAAGCAACATGGTGCGTGCAATAAAAGCCTCTATCACCTTGTGGATGCTGTTCTGTTAAGAGGACTGCTCTACGTTTATATGAACAACTTCCTACCAATATAGCAGTGTCCTAACCTGGACCTCTTACTCTCACTTTTCTCCAAAATAGTTAGCTATTCAAAAAAATCTGTGCATAGACCAGTCTTAAAATCAAACTTTTTATTATTCTCATGGCTTTGGGTGCACTAGGCAAGCTGGAAAGCAGTTTCTTTAAAAAATTTCTTTACTGAAAGAGTGGTTCAACATTGGAACAGGCTGCCCGGGGAAGTGGTTGAGTCCCCATCCCTGGAGGTATTTAAAAGACGTGTAGATGCGGCACTTAGGGACATGGTTTAGTGGGCATGGTGGTGTTGGGTTGACAGTTGGACTTGATGATCTTAGAGGTCTTTTCCAACCTTAACGATTCTATGATTCTATTCTATGATTCTCTGACTGCCCCCCTTAAAAGCAGACACCCTGAGTAGGCTTTCCTTCTACATACATGAGCTACATTACTGTAGGAGCTTTCTTTCTCCTGCAGACTGAATCATTTCCCAAATGTAGGCTTGCACAGCAGAATACGCTGCTCTGAGAGGGAGTGATGATGAGTCACCGGGAATTCACAGGTTTGTGTTCCTGCAAAGGAAAAACTCACAGCACTGAGCGAGGGGGCAACAGAGGCGATCTTGGTTTTGACAGACAGCAAGAAACAGCTCCTGGAGCACGAGCTGCTGGGTCAAAGCAATCTGGGGAAGGAGAGGAGCCGAGTGTAACGGCCACGTGACGGTCGGGTCCGCAGGGCCAAGAAATGCAGCTATGACGGGTGGCTCTGCCCGCAGTGTGGTCCTTGTGAGGGAGCCACAGCCTCCTCAGGCTCCTCCTGAATCGTCACCTGGACTGAGAAACTCCCAGCAGAAATGCATGCAGCCCGTCCAGGATCTGCAGTGCTGTGCACTGCAATCCAAGCAGGCCGAGGCTGAAGGTCAGAGGGATAAATCAGATGCGGCAGGCCGGGCAGGGAAGGGTAATGAAGCAGATGCCATGTGTGTGCACAGGAGCGGGGAAGGCACCTCTGGTCCCTCAGCTCAGCCCTACAACCCGCCGGGCTGCGGATACCACAGGGCCTTGGGGCCGCAGGAGGACAGGAGGCAGGTTGTTGTGGATTCATTTATATACAAAACCAGACCATTAACGTGCACGCAGATCGGGGTTTGGGATTTGATAAGAACCTTGAAACAGTGCCAGCAGCCCAGCCACAACCCCACATAAAAGAGGTGTGAAGCGTGCGTCACGGCAGTGACTCTGACCCGGCCCTATCTCCTGTTCCCTAGCCCCAACGGCCACCTCGCAGCCAGCGAGGGCGGACGCCCGGCTGCCCAGGCTAGCGAGGATCACCCCACCGCCTGAGGGATGCAGGGGTGGGTGGGCAGAGCAGACACCCGGGAGTCTCAGCAGGAGCCTCGCGGCTTTGAATCCCCGCTGCTCCCAGCCCCAAGTGGGGCAGCGCCCGGAGCAGGCCCAGTCGAGGCCCGCGAGGCGGGGGGCTAGGGCGCCTGCCCCTTTAATAAGCGGGGCAGG